CAACAACATCAATCCACTGACGAAGAACAAATTAAAATATACCAAGCAAGAAAAACTTGTGTTTTCCAGTCTAGCCTGTTGGGACACCATGCCCTCAGATCTTTTTCTTTCTTTTAAGCAAAAGGGAAGAGATTTATTGGAGCCCACACGGGAAACCCTAGAGGGGCCCAGCGTCCCCTACTGTGTAGGCATGCCCAGCAACAGGTCACACCATTCACTGAACCCCCATGTCCAGAGGGACTCCCCTTGAGCCGAGCCCCAAAGCGCCGGGACTGCTTGGGGTGGGGAAAAATCTCAGATCTTAAAAGTATTGTTTGATTCTGGAAGATAGGAAGTCACTGTTTATACTTTGCCAATAAGCATGACGTGGAAGACGTTTCCTCCAAATACAAATTAATCCATATTTTAAAGCTACTTCCCACAGGGAAGAGCACAATAGTCTGGTCATAGGACCCAAAACTACAGTAATTCTGATAAAGGACTCTCGTAAGAACAGGCACGTGACAGAATAGTTAACTTCATTCGCTGGACAGGAAGTTACTGGGCCATAGACGCCCCAGACTCAACCTTGCCATGCAATACTTTCTCCTCAGGGAGCACTCTGGGTGTCACCCTCTGATGACATACATGCTCTGTAGAAAAATGAATGGGTGTAATGTAACATGGTTTCTTGTGTGTCTCAAACACAGAACGTGCACATCATGATTCTATACAAGCCACTTTCCACACGAAAATAAACACGTTCAAATTTTGTCTCCATCAGATGACGTTCTATATGGCCTGTTGTATGACCCAGTGAGCCTAGAGAGCCCAGGCCAGGAAGTGCACCCGTTAAGAACCTGCCTAAACACCCGGTGAAAGCACTGTGACATCTTCTTTCTCACCTGAGCCTTGAGACATGTGCTTCTTTCCTAGTTTAGTTCTTCAGAACTGTGCAATTTGGATGGGTTTACTTACGAATGAGCTCTTAAGACCAGTTATTCCAAGTTGTTTCCCTTTATTTTCTCTAAGTGCTCATCTGTGCCTTGAAAAGTTCTTTCTGCTCTTTCATCTTTTGTTTGTGTTTTTGTTTTAGCACCTTAAAGTTTCTGTCCCTGAAGAAATATCTACAGATCTGGGTAAGTTGAGAGCCCCATTATGCTGCAGAAGTGCTTCTCTGTAGAACTGTAGTTCATCTCTAACTAAGGTCTGACCGGAAAGTGGTGACTACTTGGTCACCTGACTTGAAACAAGAAGGGAGCTTATAATACCAGGGTAAGTAAAATATATCATTAACTAGGGCGTCATTATAGACAGGCGTCATTGACGCCAAGTGAAACATGTTTAAACATGTCGGTGGCGATATGACGGTGGGGGGATGGTTGGGGAAGGAGGAGAAAGGGGGGGTGAACCCATCCAAAGGGTGAAGGGGACAACGGACAGTGTAAGATATGAAATAATAACAACAATATATAAGAATTCATGAGGGTGGGGTGGTGGGGGAGGAGGGGAAAAAAGAAGCTTGTACCAAGGGCTCAAGTAGAAAATGTTTTAGAAATGATGATGGCAACATACGTACAAATATGCTTGATACAAACAATGTATGGAATGTTAAAAGATCTGTAAGAGCCCCCAGTAAAATGATTTTAAAAAAAAAACCAACCAACAACAACAAAGGAAGAGACTAGTCCTTTGGCTACAGCCACAGTAAAGGCTGGGGAAAACACAAACAAACACGCCTGAGCTTCCGTAGATGGCTGCAGGCAGTCTCTGCAACACACTTGCCTCAGTCTTGTTGGAGTGCCGTCCCAGAAAGGTCTAGTTACAGCCCCGCCCACTGAGGGAATCTGCTGGTGCAGTTTGATTCAAGCAGAGATCAGCTCAGAAGGTTATGCTGACCGACTTTGGGGATTCTAGAGGACTAATTACTCTTCGTAGGGTTTTCAAATGGTACAGGATGATCACTTGAGCGTCTTAGGAAGTTTTAAAGAGAACTGCATTGGTGAAGAAAAGGCCAGCAAAGTTTCTCTGAGGAAATTTTTTCCATTGTGAGTTTTTTTCCACTGCTTAGTGTACGAGGGTAACAAGGGCTGTCCTATCAGAATTTCATTGGAAACCTTACCCCATCCACCCTTGCTCTCTCAGACTTCTTTTTGTCCCACAAACTCAAAATGTTTTCTTGCCCCACACATCTTACTCACTTGACTTCGCTCCGTAGGACTTCTTTTTGTTTCCACAAATGAAGAGGGACATGAAAGGACAGCAATTTGATGACAAAGAAGAGGGGAAGAAGAAAGATGAGGGAGGTGCTATCCAGCCATCCAAACAGATTAGTTTGAAGTGTTTCCAAGAATGGAGTCGCAGAGTTCACATATGTATGAAGTGTAACGGAGTGTACTTTGGAGGTGATAAGGTGGTTTTGTGGGAAAAAAAAAAAAAAAGTTAATACATAGCTTTGAAAAGATATCCTGGTTTGGGGGGGATTATGGGGGTGGAGAGAAGGTACCCCCTCGTGTATTTAAGAGTAAATGAAATCTGAATTCTGAAATCAGACACATGAAAAGCAATGGCTGTTTCCCCAGTTAAATTTGTCCCAAATCACATTGATATCTTGTCAGCTGTAATGCCCAGAACACAACCTCTGGATGAAATACTCTTTCCTCTTCGCTGTTGCAGAGAAGAGACGACCAGAACTTATTCCTGAGGATCTGCATCGCCATTATATCCACACTATGCAAGAGAGAGTCCACCCAGAAGTTCAGAAGCACTTGGAAGATTTTCGGTAATCTTGGTGCTAGATATAAGATGCTACGATGATGTGGTCATGCTGGAGTACTTATTTTTGGATAGGAAAGGCGTACGTACCCATGCAGTCCATACCTTAAAGTAAAACAACCCAGTTGCCGTGGAGCTGGTTGTTCCCCTGTGTGGGCACAGTAGGACTGCTCCACGGGTGTTCGAGCCTGTGGCCTTTTGCAACCAGGTCACTAGGCCTTTCTTCATCACACCTCTGGGTGGGTTTGAAATGCCACCCTGTCAGTTTGTAGTACAGTGCTTACCTGTTTGCTCCACCCAGAGACTCCATCCTTATCTTTACCCTGGGTGACTGGGTGACCCACACGGAATACCGGGGGCCAGAAGAGCAAGAGTGAATCTGAGCCCCTGGGCCCAGTTTCATGTGCTCATGGAAGTGGAGCTCAGAACTGACTCTTCGCTGAATGTGTGCCTTTCAGATATGTGTTCTCTTGAGGGGAGTGTATATAGGACTTTTTCCTGCTGTTACCCCAGGCGAGGTGGGCACAAGTGTAGAACACTGTGCTGTTTTACTTGTTGCCAGAACCCATAGCTCTGGGGATTCTGGTGAGACATCTTCAGAGACCAAGGATTGTTTGCCTCCAAAATGATGTCGGGAAATGTCTCCTTTTGTCTTCAGGCAAAAACGTAGTATGGGGCTGACCTTGGCTGAAAGTGAGCTGACTAAACTTGATGCAGAGCGAGACAAGGACCGGGTGACTCTGGAGAAGGAACGGGCATGTGCAGAACAGATTGTTGCCAAAATTGAAGAAGTGCTGTAAGTAATAGATGCATATGTGGAAGTGCCGTCCCTATCGGGCTGCTAATAATGCTTGATGTACTCACTGAACAAATGTAGAAGGAGTGTCAGTTTATACACAGCTGTTTATTTTGTCAACATACTCAAGAAACGGGACCACCCCCCACCCTCACCCCTTGCTTATACTTTATTTTTGATAAAATTCTTGTATTTCTTTTTCTGAGTGTTGGTGAAATAGGTAACTCTTAAACTTCTAATCCTATAAAAGCTAGGTTGCCTATTTTCATTGGCCTTGGACCTGTCTTTTGCTCTATAACGTGTGTACTTGGTGGCACATGTGGAAAGAACGGCACCCCCTTGTGGACGGCCGTTCTGCCTGTGGTGTATTCTCCGCGTCCAAGATTGAGGGCAGGACCCAGGGCACCCCATTCCCGTCCTCGTTGTCAGGGGTCTGGGTGTAACTTGCATTTTCACTGTGAATTCTTTGTGCTTTCAGGATGGCTGCTCAGGCTGTGGAAGAAGATAAAAGGTATGGTAACCATTTTCTCCTGGCCTCTCACGAGGAAAAAAACTGTTTTCTCTTGTCACCTTAAATCATGACTTGTCTTTTTTAACTTGAAAATCCAGGCTGTGGTGTCTCCCTCTGGTAGCATGTTTTTATCTGACTAATTGGTAGTTCCTTCTCTGTTGCTTGATGAATAAATTCCGAGAATTCCAGCGTCAGTGTGTAGGGTTTGATGTCATTTTATGCCTTTATTCAATCACACCCCTTTATCAGGGTTCTGATTTTACTAACCCCACCCTTTCCAGTTCCACAATGCAATATGTCATCCTGGTGTACATGAAGCATCTGGGAGTAAAGGTGAAAGAGCCCCGAAATTTGGAGCACAAGCGAGGTCGGATTGGATTTCTCCCCAAAATCAAGGTGAGGTCTAAATAATAACACCATGTTCCTATCAGCCCTGCTGCTGCTTTTTAAAAACAATATTTTAGCGATGTTGCCATTGGAAGTTTGCCCAGCAAATGAGGTATCCCATTTCAGAGTCTGCGTGCATTGTTCAGTGCCATTCCACACGGGTGGCATTCTCTTGAACTGTGGTCTGGAGGTTCCCTTTCCAGTGCTCCACTTGCCCGGCACCCTTCACTGCTCATCTGCGCTAAAATCAAGTCATCCTAACAAGAAGAGTTGCTGATGCAGCTCCCAGAGGTGGTTTTGTAGTGGAGCCCAGTGCTCAGGGCGAATAGTCTGTCCGTTGTGTGCCAGTCTGTTACTTCACTGAAAGGTGACCCGCAGGTAGCATCGCCTGTCTCGGGATGATAGTTGCAGGGAATCCACCGGTCTCACAGCCCAGAATGTCTGGCTGTTGTACGAATTAGAATACTGCCTTCTCTCAGGTCTATCTCTTGTGGGCCTGGATCAGAACTGTAGCGGAGCACCATCCAGTTCTTTTAGTCTCAGGGAAAATGAGGCTGGGGCTCATGAAGGCCGCTAGCCCTGTGGACTAGTTTGTTCTCAGACTTCCTATCGTTTTCTTTTGTTCCTGATGGGTAGAGACCAATAGTTGAATCTCAGATGGCTGCTTGTAAGCTGTTAAGACCCAGGTGTACTCACCTCACTAGGTACAAAACATGAACTTGAGCACAACTGACTAAATTGTTCCGTGAGACTGAAGATGTCTGCTCCTTGACATGTGGTTGTAGTGCTTGCTTCTCCTTTTTTTCCTGAACAACATTTCATTTTATTATGCAAAATATAGGAAACCTTGATTGAGAAAAAGGGAGTCATCAGATGCTGGATCATTTTCGTAGGAAGGCAACACTGTTGCTGAAGGATACATTTGGTCTACCCATGGTGAACATCTGTATTCTTTGCAAGCCATGGCAAAGACCTCCCACTCCTCCCTAAGTCTTCCTCCTAGATGTCAGTAAGATTTGGGGTTGAAGAACTAGAAAAAACCAGGTTCATGAAAGCCAAGCGCAGTCACTGCCCCTCTTTTTATTCAGTGGAGGAATCTGAGGCAGTGCATTAAGAGTGGGGGAGATCAACGTTCCTAAAGGCAAACCTTGGGCTCACTTACTTATTTATTTGGCTTGGGGCTCCAGTGTAGCTCCCCTTTCTCCACTCACATATGTCTGCCTAGTTTCATGTGTGGCACTTTCAGTCCTCTTCCACATCAACCCCTTGAGGCTCTGGGTGCCCATCCAGTAGACCCTAGAGCGCTGCCCCTCCCCTCGCACCTCTTTCTCGTCAAACACAGCAGTCTGTACCCAGCACGGTGTCAGCAACAAAAAGACCAGCTCTGTAAGTTCTCCTAACGCTTTCTTCTTCGTTGTATTTATTTACTCTCGAAATTAGTGCAAGGTATACCAGTAGACAGAAGATAAGGCCCTTTTTCTGAAGAAACTAAAAATCTAGTGAGAAATCCCAATCGAGAAGCACATTACTAGGCAGATGTAAAGAATGTAAACTGTGGTTCCCCCAGAAGTGCATCCCCAACTCATTGCCTTTATACTGTTTTATGGTAGCTCTTATAATTTGTTGTTATTTGGGTTTCGATTTAATGTTTATTAGACTGTAAAACCAACCCTATGAGGGCGAGGCCCTTATCTGTGTTTTCATCAGCATGACCCCGGCTTTTAGCACAGTGCTTGTATGCATTGTAAGCTTAGTAAATATTTGTTGAATATGAGTGAGCGAATTGCTTAGAGCTAGCTTCTGGTAAATGTGTTATCAAACTGCCCCTTTTGAATTTATTTATTTTTTAACTGTCATCCCTAAAAGATTAGCGGCGGTGTCTCGAGTTTGATACAAACACAGAACTGTGCACCCACCTCTAATGAGTGCGCCGTGTGCAGGTGGCCTTCCTGCACGTTTCCACAGTCTCCTTCTGATCTCTAGAACTGCGTGTCTGGTTCGAGGGCAGTGGAAGAGACCTGCCCTGCACTCCTCTCTGATGGTTTTCATTGTGTACCCACTCCAGCAAAGCATGAAGAAAGACAGGGAAGGCGAAGACAAAGGGAAGCGCAGAGGATTCACCAGCATCCTCGGGCCCCCAAGGAGACCCAGCCGCCACGACAACAGCGCAAGTATGTGGACGTTTGAGCAGTGTCTTCCCACAGTTCCATGCAGGCTTGAGGTCAGAGACTCATTTACCCAGAGTCCCTTGCTGGGGAAGCATATATTTGAAGCTAATTCCACCGAACGTACAGTGTACCTTGTTTGTTCAGTGTTATTTCTATACCAAGTAACCTCATGTTGCTATGAGGTTGCCATAGGGATGCTATTATCGCAGAATAGATTCACATCAGTTGCTCATAATTTAATTTACCTATTCTGATTTTGTTGGCATTCCATTTGTGATGATCAAATTAAGAAAATAAAGGGGGCAAAAATCTTTCAACCGACCTTTCTTCTCTTGATGTGAGGGTAAGTACGACGACTACTCCTGGGGTCCCAGGTGATGCACACAGGGCTTACTGCAGGTAACAAGCAGTGAAGCACACCTCTGATCCGCACACAGCGGCAGACTCTCGGCAAGCCTTTGTCTGAGTCTCTCAAGGGTACCTCCAGAAAAGGAGGGGGTGATAAACTTTTTGTGCTATGGGTGGGGGTGGGAGGCTGTTTTGAAATCTATTATCAAATTTTTAACAAAACTCATGGAAACCTTCCAAAATCATTGAAGCTTTGCAACAAATCTACAGAAATGCTGCCCACATAAACCAACCATTTTTAGGTGGATCAAGCATTTTTAAGGAAGATCAGAAAGACCTCAAAGATGTGCCAAGAGGGGAAAGGCTGTCGACTTCAAAGAGTCAAGAAGCCACGGCTGGCCACTAGAATGTGTGGAAGAAGACTGGAGTTGCCATTTGGGATCATTAAATTGGGATCCCACGTGGTTCAGCATTTTCTATTTTAAGTGACCAGCTTGGCCTCAAGCTTTTGGCTCAGTGGCTGCCAAACCATTGCACACAGATCAGCTAGCTCACAGAGTTCAACTTTCCGTTAGGCTTTTAAGCAACACCAAAGCTAATAATAGGACTTTATGGAACAAGTCATCACTGGGGGCGAGTCTTGAATTTCCCAAAACGATCCAGAGACTTCCAAGGGGATCTGCGGGGCCAGTTAAATCCAAGGCAGAGATCCGCTCAGAAGGTGATGGTGATGGTTTTTGGTGGGTTCCAAAGGCGTACTCTTGATAGGTTTTCTTGAAGGATACAGAACATGCACAGGGGTTATTATGATGACGTTTGAAGAAAATGGAGAACTACATTGGTCAGGAACTAAGAATTTTTTTCCTTCACAATAACGTTCGTGCTCATTTTGCAAAGACTGTCGTAGGAGATTTTTGTGGGGAAGCCTTACTTCATCCTAGGCACCGGACCTTGCCTCTTCAGACTTCATTTTGTGCCCCAGGTTCTAGGAGCATTTGAAAGTAACACAATTGGAGTTCCTTAAGGATTCCTAAGCTGCCCTTTTGACATGGTCTAAATTGAAGAACACCAGACTCTTCAGGGAAGACTCAGAGGTGGAAACATGACCTTTATAAATGAAGTCTGTGGGTTCACATGGAAGGGGCGCTGCAAAGCAGTAGCCCCGCGTGCTGATGTTCTGGTTGCTATGATTGTGTTGCAGTACTGCCTGTCTTCACTCATGTACCATTGACGCCACACTTCTTATCTGAGTTTACAATGCGTGGTTTGTGTGTGTGTGTTTCCATACTCTTTCTGCACCTCTCACTTCAAAGGTAAGAGATCGGCCTACTAGAGAAGGCTGCAGGAGAGTAGGGAGGATGGTGTTGGGGGAGAGTCACGGCGTCTTGCACTGGTTCTCAGCCTCGGCACAACCACCTTGTAAAAATGTCAGCTTAGTTGGGCCATGAGGATGTGAACAGTGACAGTGGATGTCCCAGTGTATTAGCCTGGGTACTTTGGAGAAACAAATCCACAGCAACTCATGTATAAGAGAGAGTTTTATGCAAAGAAAATGTGCATCACGAAAACATCTATCTTATGATTTGTTTCTCCAGTACCCCACTCC